GGGGGGGGGGGGTGCGGGGAGCAGTGACTTCAGGAGCCGCTGTTCCTACGCCGGGAGGCGTGGTCCCACATGGAGCGCTGCAGCTCATTGAAGGTGAGCGAGCCCAGGGTGATGGCGCATGGGCCCACGAGGCGGAAGCCGAATTTCTGGTAGAAGGGCACCAGCGCATCCTCACACATGAGCACGGCCCGGCGCACTGCTGGCTGCCTCCCCAGGTGGTGCAGGAACCGCCACATCAGGATGGAGCCCTTGCCTTGTCCCCGGAAAGTGTGGTGCACGGCCAGGGCGCGTAGGTGGGCGGTGTGGCCCCCGGGCCGGTGCAGCGTCATCGACTCCTGGGAACGGGCAAGGGATGTGAGTCCAGGGCATCTCCGTCGATACCTGCCTCCCCAGCTAGCCCCACTGGCCGAGCAAGCGTCTCTCGAGTGCCTCCAATCGGGGCTCCATTCCTACCCAAGGAGGGCCCCAAACTGGGAGCCGTACCCTCCAAAGAGGTGGGTCCTTTTGACCCGGGAGAGGCCCAGAGGAAGAAATCACAGCCCAGGGGCGCCTGCCCTCACCTGAGTGAGTCTCTCCTGGTCCCAAAGCGAGCCGATGATGAAAGCCACAAGGCGGCCCTCCTGGAACCAGCCCATGGACAGCTCTGGACACAGGGTCAGAAAGTGCTTGATCTCCTCCAGATACAAGGGGCAGATGCCCAGGACAGAGATGAAGGCTGCAAGGGGAGGTACGGCGTGTGACTCAGCGGTCACCATGCCACATGCCACTGGCCACCGAGCATCTGCTCAGAAGCCCAGGTGTGCTTTCCCACTCCCCACCCCTCCCCCATAGGAAAGCGGGATTCGGGGCCCTTCCTGTCCCCACGCGCACGCACACACACACACACACACACTCGATCTGATACTCTGGGGGCCCAGCCACCGAGGACAGGGGCTCCTCCCCATGGACAGATGTGTCAGCGTCCAGACCCTGTGCGGGGCCCACTCACCTTCACGCTCAATCTCAAACACGCTGGCAGCATCCTCCGGGGTGAGGCAGCGGAACTCGTTGGCGGGAAGCGTATGACGCCGCTGGTGGCCCGGGGCCTTTGGGGTCTCCGGCTGCAGCTGCGAGGCCTCGGGCTCCAGCGGGTACGTGCTCTGTGTGGACATCCTGGATGCTGGTGCGTCCCCGGGTGCCCCAGCTTCAAAAGTGGCCTTGGTGGCCGGAAAGGGTCCTGCGGCACCTATCGGGGAGGAGCGAGGGTCAGGGGTACGGTCCTCCTCTCCGATAGGGGCGGGCCAGGGTGA